TCCACCGTTTAATAACCTGTTCAATACAAACATGCCACTTGTAAAAATGAAATAACATTTAGGTGAACTGATATTTGTTTAGTGAGCTTATTAGAGGATGTTCAAATGTAATGATTGTAAAATGTCAATGAAGATGTCAGACTTAGTATATTTGTTAATAATTACATACAATACATGGAATGTGTGTGTGTGTGTGTGTGTGTGTGTGTGTGTGTGTGTGTGTGTGTGTGTTCAAAGTGAATCTGCGGCCCCCTGGTGGCCAGTACCTAAATTGTGTGGCCCCCACCAACATCCAAGTTGCCCATCCCTGCAGTAGACCTATAGTTACTGGTATTTTAGTGTAAAGTAAGCAAGTAAAATGTATTTATAAAGTGCTTTTCCCAGACACAGTCACAAAGTGCTTGACAACGCATTAAAACATCGTACGAATCATAAAAGATTAAATGACCACACAAGCCACGTGTTAAGAAGTGCTAAAAACACAATACACAATAAAAACACAATAAGAACATAGAATAAAAGCACACAAGTTACCCAATGTAACAGCAGATCATCACTTGTATGAAACCTTTACCCCACATGACAATCTAATGGATGAATTCATCCTTCAAGATTCAAGATTCAAGGCTTTATTTGCACATTAGTGTAGATATGGCAATGAAAAACGTAGGTCACAGGCTCCTCCAACAGTGCAACGTGAATATATATATGATATAAAACAAATCAAACAGATACAATAGTGCAAGAGAATGTTTTGAGATGTGCAAGTAAAAACAAATAAAATAGAAATAATGCAAGAAGAGTATACAAGGAAATGGAATATGATATATGATATAAATAATTTACAAGATGCAAACAGATGAAGGATACTTTAAGATGCTAGATCCGGTCCGACCCCCTGAATGTAGCGTCATTTCAAATTGGCTCCTGGGCTCCATCTTCAACCTATCAGGGCATAAATGGTAGACACCGCTGCCGAAAACAAACAATGCTATTGAAGGTTTTAACAACACATATAACCAGCCTGACACAGGACACATATGCATGGACCTGGACCCCCGTCCCCCTACACTAAAGACTGTATGGGACGCCAGAATCCACAGACATCCGGAGACATATCAAACGAAAGTAATGGAAAACCCCACAACAGTAAACCATCGGCCACTCCCAACAAGTGCTTGCAACCTTTTGCCACAAGTGATTAGTTAACATCGTCCTGTGGTTCTGTCCAACCTTTCACTTCACGAAACTACATTCTCCATTCGTAATAAAAACATCATATCCAGGAGTTTTTAGTGTCTCTAATGTTCAAAAAGCTCTTTATGTGTCTCATACTGCCTGTACATACACCTCTTTTCACCCTCTGTCTGAAACCAGAGCCCAGTCTGCTCTGATTGGTTAGCTGGCTGGCTCTGCTGTGATTCGTCAACCGCTTAGAGATGTCCCGCCCCTTAGCCTATCACCTACAACGTGGTGGAGACAGTGGCGGACTGGCCATCGGGACGCGTTCGAGACCAAACCCGATGGGCCGGTACTGAAGTGGGCCGGTCGGACGATGTGGGCCGGTTGGATAAGTCACTAGCCCCCCCCCCACGTTGACAAGTTACTAGCGGTATTTACTTGCGATACCGAGGGTGGGCCGGCGGTTCCCGAAGTGGGCCGGTCGAGAGTCCCGGGCTGATTGTTAGTCCCAGTCCGCTCCTGGTTGGAGAGCTAGCCAATAGAAGTGTGAGTATTACGTAGTGATGTCACTATGTTACGGAAGTAAACAAAGTGTGTGGGAGAGAAACTCCCTCTGGACACACAGGGATTTCAACCTTTCCACATCCATTTACAACCACAAAAGGAAAGGAAAGGGAAAACCTCAAAGCATAATAGGGCCTCAAAAAGTAACTCTATGGCTTTTTTCAAAATGGGTTGATTTTGTATGTGTTATTATTGTGTATGATATATTACCTTGAATAGAAATAGGTTAAAAGACAAACTTAATTTTCACACAATCCTTTTTTTTCTTCAAATGTTCTATAATAAATAACATTATCAGAACATTTCTAACCAGAAATACGTTGACACTGCGAGGCAAAACACAGAGCTGATTTAATATTTTTAATAAGAAACAACAGCGCAGAAGGTTTTCATGGTGTATTTACATCGTTCGAAGATAGTCCCAAACCTAAAAGCAATGCGTTGAGTTATGTAAAGCATACACGTGACAAAAAATGCAAATAAGTTAATTTCATTTCATATTGATAACCATGTGACGGATGGCTTCATATTTTAAATACAAATGCATAACATTAAACAAGTAATTAACGCTTTCAATGAGCATTAATCAACAAATAAATAATAAACAATCTTAATGCAAAAATAAAAACACAGGAGCATGGCATTAAAACACTTAGCAGCAAGTCTCTGTCATCATACGTTCTCATATGCTACTGACTGCCGATCTACATAAATACAGTTCAACAAACCATGGTTACAGAGCCTGATAATTGTACGTTTTTTGTGTAAATCTTTAGCAGATTCTTATAAACTATGTTCTTGTTAGCAGACATTGTGTTGTTAATAATGTCGTATATGATAAGGACACCATTGCACATTTGAACACAAGCTTGGGCTTCAAAATATAATTATAATCTAAGTTGAATTTAGGAAAACAAATGCCTATCATAACAGAGACAATTAAAAGCAGTAAACCATGATTTGTATATTTAGCAGTCTCCCAAATGCATTACTCAGAAACACATGGATGTCTTCAGGCTATATCCTGTCTTCCATTCAGTGCACACTTTGCAGATATTGTTGCATTTAAAGATGCAATCGGTAATATCCTACTGGTGATGAAAGGCACACGTATCTGGAGTTGTCTCTTTAAGAAATATAGCATGGCTGGCCTTATTTCCAGTAGTTTTTTTCTTTTGAAGGCACCATCTTATCTGAGACGCTCTGTGAAGATATGGGGACCAGCCAGCATGGAGATACTATTAAGCGTTTGGCGAAATGTAGGATGCACAAATGACCATGGCTCATACTCTGGATTAAAGTCAGGGTATAGAGTGGTGCAGAAACAAGTCCTGACACCCAGAGAATACATTTAAGTCGACGAAAATGTTTGCGGTATTGTGACTGAAATAAGATCTGTGGTAAAAGCGATGTTCACATTTTGTTCTACGACATCAAATATGCCAGTAAATACTGCACTCCTTGTCACAAAAATTGGCTAAAAGAGACACATGCCAAACGTTAGCCGCCATTAGCTTAGCGATGGTAGTGCGCCACCATGTTGTAGTTCGGTATTAGCCTAGCATTAGCTTTTTAGTTAGCATTTAAACTTCGAAAAAGTCCCAACGACATTAGCCTAGCATTAGCTTTTTAGTTAGCATTTACATTTCGAAAAAATCCCAATGACATTAGCCTAGCATCAGCTTTTTAATTAGCATTTACACTTCAAAAAAATCCCACAGTGGGGTTAATATGTGGAGATTATCCTGCTGAACAAAACGTGTGTTTGCCACAGAGCTTATTTTTCTGCAATATACCAAAATCCAATGGAAAAATCCCAATGAATTGTGGAGGAAGCCCTATGTGATGCTAACTTCCAGGTCATCACTGCACCACTGTATTTATTTGGTGTGGAAATAACCATTATTTCTGTGTTTTTGTATCTTTTACTCGACCAGTGCAGTACACCCTCTAACATATAAATAGTAAACTTGAAATGCGCAGATCAAACCCTAATATAACATTCAACAAAAAAGTAAAATCTACCGGGTTATGTTAGGAATATAAGTGACAGTAGGCCTATTAGTAACACTACATAACCAGACTTTAGTGATTGCACCTTTTTCTAACAGTTGTAAATAATCGGCAGGAAATAAAACCCATCTTATCAATCTCTCATCAAATGCAGGTAATGAGCTGATTAATCATTCATTCGTTAACATCAGTTCAGGTGTTGGAGTTCAGTATCAGGTCAAAGGGAAGCCATCATTATTCCATCACAGCATTTAAGGAAGTAACATGCACCTCGTAGAAAACGTCAAATCAAAAAATCTGTGGTGTCAGTCCATCTGCAGCACGTTAAAAGCAGCCAGCGATTTTACTCTTGATTGATAACTGGAGATTAAGATGATGAATATATATGGCCCAGTATGCAATGCTGCAGTTCCCTTTAAGCATACTAAACAGAAAGGCACCATTGATATTTTTTCTGCACTGAAATATAATGTCAACTGCTACATACTAGTGTATGGCACATTACCTACGAGAAATGTGTATGTTTT